TATGTTTGTTACACCAATGCATACTAGTAGGGAAATATTAAAAATGCACTCATATTTTGTTATGCTGTTTCCATATAATGTAAGATATTTTCTATTCGTTATCTGGAAGAAAATGTAATAACCCCCAGGCGACTTGATTATTTAATGAAATATAGGAGGTACAAACGTATCGCCGTGAGTTCAATTGAAACTATTAGAGAAAAAATGCCTTTATTAAAACTAAAAAGTTGCCATGGCCATATACAGGGTGTTTCACATTTTATCCGACAAATTTTAACCACATATGCACTGTTACGAAAGAAGTTAATTTCTCAAAAAAAAAAAATGTAATAAAAGCTCTAAAGAAATTAAGTCATAAACCTGAATTTCAATAATTAATTGAGAAATAAATATCTGCATTTTGCTTTCATCGTCGTGATACCAGATCAGGCATTAATAATTTATTGTAGCAAATGTTGTACCAAACAACTGACGAAAACAAAATAGCAGTAATTTTTTGTTTTTCATATTGCAAATAAAGTTTATTCTGTATCGTGGGTGATCTGAATGAAGTACGGTCGATTTTTGTGAAGTTAAATAAGAAAGTACATATTTTGCGAGTTTATGTTTTTAGTTATTTACTAATGAAAATGGCACATGAGGAGTTGGACATTGTTTTAGCGTACGGAGAAGCAGCGCAAAATTCGCGAGCGGCTTCTCGTTTGTATGCATACCGTTTTCCGAATAGGCACATACCACATCACGAAACATTTAGTTCTATTGTTTTACGTGAACGTGCTAGTGGAGATTTGCGCCCCAGACGTGGAGTGGATGTGAGTCAGGTTCGTCCGCAACGCGTTTTAAATGCCGAAGACGAAATTTTGGATATTGTGGAAGAAAATCCAGGAATACGCACAAGACAGTTAGTTCAACAGATCCGAGAAGTGTCACATGCAACCGCGAGGCGCATATTACATGAGGCCCAACTGTACCCTTATCACGTCCAGAGAGTTCACTCGTTGCTACCTACAGACTACCTCCTAAGAGTACGATTTTGTGAGTGGTTGTTGCAAGTACATGCTCGAAATGCCCGCTTTACAGCTAATATTTTGGCCACCGATGGAGCTATTTTTACTCGTAATGGGATAACCAATCTTCATAATACACACGTTTGGTCCTTTGTGAATCCTCACGCAGTGGTCCAGACACACTTCCAACATCGTTTTTCTTTAAACGCGTGGGCAGGTATTATCGATGAACGTCTAATTGGACCGTTCATATTGCCAGATCGGATGGATGGTCACCAGTATTTGAAATTTTTTCGGAATGATTTGCCGGTCCTTCTTGAAGATGTGCCATTGGCGGTCCGAGCGCGGATGTGGTTTCTGCACGATGGGGCACCTCCGTGTTTTGTAGGTATACCGTACTCCAGTTCAGAGTATTGAAGAATTGCGTGACCAAATCACAGTGGTTGCCGATAATTTGAGCCTTCAAATACAGCAGGAAGGAGGTGTATTTGAATTAGTGTGCCGAAATTGGATTAGACGCGACCAAGCTTGCGTTGCAGTCAATGGAAACAATTTTGAACAGCTTTTATAAGTAAGTGAACTGTTAAAGTGTATTATTTTATTATCTCATTTCTGTAGTAAAATTTGTCGGATACGTTGTGAAACACCCTGTAGGGATACGTTGTGAAACACCTTGTAGATCGCCTAGTTTATATTTATTTTGTGCACTATCACCCTACCCAGGATTTTATCATCCGCTATAATTAATCTAAATGTCAGCAATTGCTTACTTGTTGATAATATTAATATTAATAAAGTTTAATTATGTTTACGTTTTTTATGAAAAAATAGAGAGTAAGATGCAAATTCATGCCTGTTGTCACTGTTGTGGGCCGTTTTGCAATTCTAACTGCACTATTTACGAAAATCAATATTTCGTACCGGCCATGCTTATTTTAGAACTTTCAGTCTGCAGATACTAGATACCAGTATAATCTGTCTACTAAACACGACAATCTGAGATGCCATGATTTCCAGTATCTTACTGTTAATGAAGTGGCGCGGCGCTGGTTTTCACTGTGTTTCTGCCATATTGCGATTAGGTAGATTTACGTATTACGATATTAAACACTAGGAATGTACTATGCAAACCCAAAATTAATGGGGTAGATATGAATTATCTATATTGCGCCTGATAGATGAAGTGTATATTAATCGCAAATATTGCAAAATAGTAAAATTTCCACCAAAACTGCATCTACTTGTAAATGGTTATACAGTGCAGTTATTGGTTTCATATTTTACGTTTGTGTTTTTTCAACTTTTTGTCTTCCACTGGAACACATGTGGGCTGGCGTGATTGGAAGGCAGAAGAATTTGAGGGATTAGAAATTTTACACACAAAAATATCTATGAAATTACACAATCATTCCAATACCAATGGGTCCCGATCAAAAATTTAGATGCGGCTACTAAACAGATCATATTGAGAATTTCTTAAAAGGTTTAGACCAGTTTTATCGAAAAAAAAAACATATTTTCATATATTTTCAATTTCGTGGGTGTCATGAAATCCAAAATTTTCTGTAGCTGCTCAGGACCCCAATTGCCCTGCTCGTCGACGAAAATTCAAAATAAACATATGCACACTTTCTATAAGTAAAACATATGAGACGGATATATCAATTCGTACCGACATTTTTCGACATAAGTAAACACGCAATGTAAATATATACATATTTCAATAAAGCTCCAGCTTCTCTGTGAAATATGTGTTTTGAATTACAGTTCGCCTGAAGCTTCAATGGTAAGAATGCATTGTATACAGCACCAGCATTTTGTATCCATCCTATTTTATCCTTAAAAGGCGCATCAAGACGTTTATTGTGAGCGTTGATTTACGGTCTTTTTGCACATAACAATATACAGTGTAACTTGCTACAGGTGCACCAGTGACGATGCGTTAAAATAGCATAAATGACAATATACAGTGTGAGTGTTTAGGTTGGTATATAAAACGTTAAATATAAAAATTATTGTAGCCAACAGCCGCTGAATTGGAAAATATTGTTGTCTCTACAGGGTGACTCATAACCGCGCGGCGTCCCAAACATACATTTTTTAAATGGAAGGCGCTACATTTTATTGCAGATTCTGATATGTCCTTGGGAATTAGATATGATGCAACATGCTATATGGTTTTATTTACAATTTGCTGAAATATCGGAAAAACTCATTTTTTAAAACTCGCACCTTCGCAACTGTTACGGCTAGATTACTGAAATTATCGTCAGAAAAAAAAATATGATACTACTCGTCGCTTTTTGAGTCTATTTATTAATTTATTATAATGGATGGTCAAGAAGGCAAAATGTACCAATTTTTCAAAGTGTTATAATTCAAATACTGTTTATTTTCACATTCCGTTTTCTCCTTTCTACGAGCTTTTTTATATAAGCTTTATGGGGGTTCATACGACGAGTGGTTTTTGACTTTCAGCTGAACTTTTTGCAAACATCATAAATATCGAGGTGAATGCAAACAATTTTAGTGTTTTTCAAAATTAAATATTGTATTCAGTTGGTAACGGCAGATCTTGAGAATTTGTTTTATTCCCCTTATAAATTTAGTCTACCCAGCCTTATGCAATAAGTCGAAAAGTAAAGTATTTTTAGTAACCCAAAAACCAGTCGTACAAACGCCAATAGCGTGATAAGAGAAAACACTTCTAAAAAGGGGAATGAAAAAATGCGAAGATATTTCTCATTTCAAAATTTTTAAAAATCGTTCGTTTTGCCAACTTGACTAACATGTATGAGCTATTTAAAAAACTGAATACGTTATAGGTCAAAATATGGGATTATTAAATTTTTCTGACAAAAAATTCAGTATTTCAACTATCGCAGTTGCGCAGGTACGAGTTGTCCAAGCTGAGTGTCAGTTAGGATCACCATGTAGTTATGAATCACCCTGTAGAAACATTTTTTTTGCAAAACCACCTATGTAATGAAAAAATCTCATTTTGACCCGTAACCAAAGCATTATGTCATATTCCCTATATATTCCATATTAATAGTGCAAAAATGATTGGATGGCAGTTTCAATCCTAGCTCAAGGAAACCGAGAAGTTAAAATAAATACTTACTTTTAGGTAGGTAAAGTAAAGGATTAAGTTCAGTTCGAGAAAAAAATACAACAGAGAAATTAAAAGGTTCGTTAGTGGCTTACCAGTAGTTACCGTCCATCTGGCAACGTTGTCCCTTCCCATATCGTCAGACGCAGCAGCGCCCACCGCGGCACCGTTGCAGTACGAATAGTCAAGCAGATCGGTACATCGGGCGATGAACCTAGATAGCAGAAGGCGACGCGCATGGAAACATAGATTATTGAAGTATGACTAATAGGTGCGTCGAATTACCGGGGTTGGAAGCGTAAAAATAAAATTGAGATATACCCTCCCTCACCCCTTTCAATCTTAACCCCAATTTTAATCTCTAAATTTTTTTTCTGAAAATGATAATGAGCCCCTGAAACGTTAAAAAAGGTTGAGCTATTTTTATTTTTGAACCGTTTCTCAAAAACCACTAACTTTTTTCGTCCTTGGCATGGTGGTGACCAAGTAGCGGCCACGGATTCGCGGACAAACAGACAGACTGGCATACATGCTGTACAGGACGTGAAACATTCAAAAGCATAGCATATCATTTTCGAATTTATTCGCGATGTAAACTGTTACTACATCCGTGGTTCTATTTGAGTTGTTATTATCCACTACAGATATCATAGATACTTTTAAGAACAAGGCTTGGTAAAAAATTAAAACAAACATCTAAAGAACCTGAAAACATTCGGGGATGACTTCCTAAACATTATTAAAATCGGTTGATTGTCATCCCAATTAATAAACGTTAAAAAAGATAATAATGCCCCTTTCTTCTACGGATGTACAAGCATACGCACGTCGCTGATGTCGAAGCAGTAGAATTTATTACAGTGTCGCCTTCATAAATACACGGACAAAAAAACTGTTGTTTTATTAGTTTGGTTATTGATAATGCATGTTTAAATATTAACAATTTGACTATTTATCTCAGCTTAATCTAACGTTACGGCCTTAAGATATGCGATACATGGTTACTTTTGGCCTTTATCCAGGCGCGTTGTACAGTGACGGCGTGTGCAACTTTATCACAGATGTTTTGGAATAGATCTGAAAATATAAATCAAGTTATGAAATGACGTTCCGTAATCCCGACATAATAAGCTTTGACTTTATTGGGAAAGCTCTGCAGAAATTGTGTGCCCCATTAAGGATAAGATGCTCGTTTATTTCGCAAACTTGAATTTTCAGGATCCTCTCAAAAATTCCCCACTATCTGCTATGATCAGCTTACTCTCTCCCTCCAGTTGCTCTTACTATTACTCTTATTTTACTGATTCGCTATGACCTGCCTTATTTCCATTTGGCGCAGTAACACGACGAACCTTTGTGGTCCTGTATCGAAATGAGAAAGATCCGTTAGCTACGTAGTTACGAGAAAAAGGGGGGGCTTATTTCGTAAGGTTATTTGTACCTTTTTTATGCGCTGTTGCCGAAATCTGTACAGTAGCATAAGGTTAATCAAAACAATTTCAAGTTATAAAAACACATTGGTTAAAATATAATAGAAATATGAATTTTAGGTCACATATAAAAATAAATGCAAGAAATAAGTAGTATGATTTTTTGCTATACATGCAATGTGGCAAGGTAGCGTATTATTGTAGCCCTGCTTGTTTTGAGGTCACTTGCCCTTCTAAGGTTCTATGATTCTAGATCTATTCATTTCTTGTCCGGTTTGGACATATAATTAACCAGTCCCGTATCTCGAATAATAAATAAAAGTATGCTGGTTGTATTCAAGTAGCGCGGAGTGTAGTAGCTTTTTCGCCCTTTTCATAAAATGTGTTGCAATTTGATCCAAATCTAAGTGGTTCTCTTCGAGATGTATAGAGGCTAAGAACTGTTGAGCAGACAGACAGTCGTTGGAAATCGATGCCACTTTTCGCGATTACAATACCTTTCTTGCCTTATGGCAAAAAATGGCGTCAAGCATTTTGACTCTCCGCTTCCCACTTCAACGTTATCATTAGCTCTTAAAATATTATATTCAGCTCAGAGAAAAAAGTTAGTTACGAACAAGTATAACAAAATGATTAAGTCAGTCAAATAGGCCCATACAGTTAGTTGATAGTTACCACCTATTTGACGATGTTGGGGTCTAGATATTTCTTGCCTGCCCTACCAACAGTACCGATCATCTGGCAGTGTTGCTATTCCTAACCTCGGCGCTCGCCAGCCACAGCAGCCACCCTTAGGTCAGACCGCAATACATGTATATCCAGAGACGTGTGTGTTGAAAATATTTAGGATATTATCATCAAAGTTTTAATGACAAATGGACATGTATAAATACGTTATACTAATGTCCAAAAAAGAGATATACCCTTCTCCCCGAATTTTATGCAAGCATCTGAAACGTAGGTTCCACTGGATCTATTTTCAAAAAACTACAAAGCTTTTTTCACTTGCAGAGTGTTAACCTTCTGTTACAGTTGCATCAAAATCAATATTTTCTCGCCAGTTGGCGTTGGAAGTAAAACAAAACTAAGAAATTCATTAACGTATTACATTAAATTCTGCTGTAAATAATTGATATAGTTAATTTATGCATACAGAATTCTTGGTCTTGGTTACCATCTATATATTGTGAAGAATGCCTTCATGGTACGACTATGGCAAGATAAGGAGCCACCCAAGCAGCGCGTCTCCAATTGACGATCCTATGCGAGATAGGACCCGCTGGTTGCGTATACATACAGATACACACACACAATGTAGTACTACCGCAAAATAAATATATGCATATATAACTGGAAAATTTCAAAATTTATGAAAGCCCGACTACCATAGATTACAGTGTCTAATCGGTATGCAACATCTGTGAATAAAATTTGTTAGTTTTGAAATGTTTTCCTACTTCAAAGAAAAATATGCGTTCTGACCCTGGAACGATTAGGCTTGAAAATACATGTAAAGACCGTTGCATGCAAATCGATCGAACACCATATAACTCACAACTGTACAGATCACGAAAGTCCGGAATATTAAGATTAAGAATCTGTGTGCGTTTTGTCTCAATTTATACAAAAGATTCATAGACGTAGAAGTAAATGTTGTAAGTACTCACTTGAATCCTTAAAAGGTTTATCAGTAGATACAAGTTTGTGCCACTACATACCTGAAACAAGGAAACGCATCATTAGTATTCTAGTATTTGTTTGGAAAACAAACTCGTAAGGTAGTAATTGCATTTGCTCACACAGATTGTTGTATTGCCACACGTTTTGCATGAGATTGAGCACCTTGTTCCTAAGATGCTAATTTACATAACATTTACATATTCTTCTAAAGTCGATTTATCCAAGAAAGACATTATACCAAAACAATAACCAACTGTGTTCAGTGCGCGATCAGCTCGTTGATATAAATATGTCAATAAACGGGGAGTATAACTATTATTGAGCAGAATTGGCCGAGCCCATATACAGGACGAATGCCAAGCCAGGAAAGTTGAGTGAGAGACGCCACAGCGGTGCATGCAGCCTTGCCGGCCGTTAATGTTACCTCGGCGGTCTGGTGTCTGATCACGTGAAGTATGCGTGACTATGTCTGGGTTTCATTTCTTTCTTCGATAGATGGACAGGAAACTTGGTGTTTTTTCGTTTCTATAAGGAACATCTTTATACAGATTTATAATTAGGATAATAATATTATAAGGAAAACACAGTTTTACTATTTAAAGTTTGATTTATTACTCTCACACTAATTTTTTGCATCTGCAACTATTTTATTACAAATTTATGACTATATCGACTAGACTATGGTGTTCCGCGCTGCTGAATTATCATCCCCTGTCGGTTGACTCTCCTGCTCGCTCTCGACATTCCTAATTCCAGAAGCATTCCAGACAGAACTCGAATCTCCATCAAAGCTTGCTAGATGGCAGTCGAAGCACCAGGAATGTTGTGACGTGCGTAGTTCTGGTTGCCTAAGCATTAATGTTACGAGGGTATCTCATTGATGTTCCGAGCTTCAGTTAAGAGGGCGTTACAATATGAGGGCATCATGGGCAAAAGTTACTTCATTTGTAAAAAATACACCGTCTCGTTTTCGATACATTTGTTTAGTTGGAAAGCTGATAAATCCGTTTCTGATGTATTCGATGCACGACATGGAAAAATGGTACGGTTTTATTATCGAATATCCTTATACAAGTCCGATGCTGCTTTCGATCCAACCTCAGTGCTTCCTAAAACAAGATTTTGTTAAGAGCTCTTATTAAAATTTGAATAACATTAAGAACGTTGTTCGGAGAGATGCATCAGCATTACAAAGCAGCTTATAGTACTAGATATTATTTTCATATCGGAACTATCTATCTTAACCCCGGTTTTGACACACCGGCAGCAACATAGACCAGTAATTAACGACTGGCACATGCACTTACATAGCAGAAGATTATTTTTTGCAGCTTCGGTTATCAATGGACAGAATTATACATTTGCAAAACGTACATAAAACCTTCTAAGAAATATGAATACAATGAAGCAGATTGCCGAGAAGTTAACGATCTCGGATCACTTCCTGCTGTCTGATTGTATAACATGCATATTCTAATAAGCGATAAGATGTACGAGTATATTACTTGGCATTTATTAACTTAAATTACACAACACTATGCAATTCATTGGCTTTGCCTTTGGTTAGAATATGAATCAATATACCAGGGAACTTCAAATTTATTAATAACAGCTTTACGTATATTGAACTAGTTCTTATAGTTTTAGCTCTTATAGCTATGATTTTATTGAGAAAATGAAAAATACGCACACGAAATTTGAATTGTAGATTGTTTAGAAAGTGGAAAGGCTACGAGTATCACTTTCTGGGTGAGAATCGTTTCGTAATGTAATTAGAAAAACTATGAACTTAAATTGCATCACATTTTTCCATTTTTCAAAATAGTTACCTTGAACATTTGAAGATTTCGCAAGTCATAATACTAGCTTTTGAATCCCGTCGTGACAGAACGATGCCGCCTGACCAATAAACCAGTTAATAACTTTCTAATATGCCATAATTTTCCAAGCGCTTTTCCCCAAGAAATTCTTCAAGCTTTGGGAACAGATGAGAAAGTCTGATGGATCTAAGTCAGGGCTGTATGGTAGATCTAGTTAGTCCCAGCGAAACGTGGCTAGTTTCGTCTGTGTTCTTGCTGCAACGTGAGGCCAAGCGTTGTCGTGAATCAGAATAACGCTGCTAGAGAGGAGGCCCTGGTGGTTTTAAAAAGCGCATCTAATTCAACAAGCTGCTAGTGAATTTCAGCAGGAGGAACGTTTTACTGATTGACATGGCGACAAACAGAGCAGTATAGGTACAAAACAAATTAGAGATTAGCCAAGGGTGTTCGGACTTGACCGAACTTCACGGAATAGGATGCGCAATCGGTACTTTCTAAAAGTGACCCTCGTATAACTGATAAATATCAGACTAAATAGTCATTCTATGGAGTTAGGGAGCGAACATAAATTGGTTAAACTACAGACCATGCGACTCCATAGAATAAAATTATCAGGAAAATCCAGCTAACATTTTGCTTGTCAGGCAGGAGGCATTGAGACACCTTCAGAGAGAGGTCGAGTATTCTTAGAAAAATTTGTATGATAAATTCGTATGAATTTTGGTCAAAACCGGCAGTTAAGCACTTCATAAAGTCATATTGGACATTTTCGTTCACATAAATGACCACCCTCAGATGTTACATTTTACTCCTTTAGAGGTAAGCATAAAATAATGGGCTAGCAGTTTTCAGTATACAATGTTTTGAAAAACAGCGCTAAGGCTGCTGGATTATTTGGTCGTACTATACGACATACATTTTCATAATATAGGCATCAGAAAAAGTCCAAGTATGCTAAATTATCCAAATTATAAAATTTTTGGGGTCACAATACTGTCCTTGCCTCAGAATACAATACAAAAAAAATATTCATTGAAAACCTGGCATTAGCAAATCACTTGAGCTATATTTATACAGTGTACTGATATTAATATCAAGTCAAGTTGGTCCATGACTTAAACCACTCACACACCACGTGAGATAATATATTGAAATTGATTTAGGATCCGCACGTTTCTGGAGATTATGAATTCATTTTATGGCTCCAAACCCGACGACGGAAAATATTCCGGGCTTCTTTTATTAATACTTTGAGTCCTGGGATTCCTTCCCTTAGTACCCCCTTATCACGCCTATATGACTCAATTCACACAATAAAAGGTGATGATGTTCAGTGCTCTAAATGCCTGAGAGAGGTTGATGAAAGCAATGCAATAGATAAAATTGTTATTGTCAAGGTAGGACTAGCGTAACCATTGGAGATTTCGTAAGTCAACGGGCACAAAAAGCTTTAAGCCATCACGAAATTGGACTGTACTTGGGCATGGGCTTGTGCAGCCGAATATTTCAAAAATTAATAGGACAGAACTAAATATTTCAGAAAGCAGATGGTAGATTTTCCGCAAATTTTGTAGTAACGTTTATATTCTTGAGTTTTTTGAGAGTTCTGTTTTGATTCCCTTGAATAATGAACAAAAATATAAAGTTTCTCATAAAAGTCCATGTAACGGTTAAAACATTTGTTTTAGCCACATGCGGTCGATTTCTTTCAGACTTCGAAAATAGCATGTCAACATAGTAAGTACAATGTGCATATGAAAATTACAAATATTTGAATTGATAACAAGCGCATTTGCTACACAATATTATGTTAAATATCCCACCTTTATGTTCATTCTCCTGTATCCTAGGTAAACTGCGCAGATATCTAGTCTTGAAGATCTTGGTCGGATAGTACCCTACAGTTCCATAGTCCACTAACATATTCAAAAACTCATCCAAGAAGAGCACCGTCCACTAACCGTGCATCAAAAACACAATTTACGTACAATCTTCCATGTACCGCGGACATCAAGCATTAAGGTGCCCGTACTGCCCGTTTATGCACGAATATCCAGCTTTACACTAATCTAGATAGGAGCATTCCTCACCTTTATATATAACGTTTTTATCGTATTTTTATCAGGCATATTTACGCCGGTTGGAGATAGAAAGCGAGATACTGCATGATAAGCGGGATGGTGGTAACTGCATATGTGTGTGAATGTGTAAGAAGTATGTGAATGCTGGTTTTCCAGTTTTTTTTTTAAGATATCGCTGGAATTTTTCATGTGCTACTGGCAGTGTATATGGACATTTTATGCTAACATGTGGCTTAGAATGTAGTTTGCACATCATAATCAAAACAGGCACATGAACTTCGTTCAACTGAAATGCATGAGAAGGCTGGCAAAAGGTCTTGAAAATATATGGGTAGGAGAAATTACTCTGCAGCTGCTCATATAAAACAAACTCCAAACATCACATTCATCTGTTTCAATGGGTATACATACAGGCAGATATACAAATCAGTTTGAGAGAAACATTCTGTTAAAGAGGTGTCCTAAAATACTTTCCTTCTCAGAAACTACTACGTTTGAAATACCAAAGTAAATTTGAGGTAAAACAGCATCGAAAATATAAAAAATAAATTGAAGAAAAATACTCATAATTTATGTGGTACGGCATTTCAAGTAGTGAACTCTCACATGATTTCTTTGTAATCACTGTTTGAAGTTGTCGCTGTTCGAAACAAGAATGCGAGTCGGATTATTTCTTCCTGAATTTGCAACATTTGGGACTGTCTGGATCCTCTAATGTGTCCACCCAGACGATTTTTGCACAGAAACCTATGCGGGACGGGAATATCGAGGAAGACGACGACCTTCTGAATACTCGAGTACACCCGCGGAGTATCAATAAGATCTTGAATACGTTCACATCAATGCCAATTTCAGTCTTCAAATGCGGTTTGATTATAAACTACGCCGCGCCTGACGTGGATACTCTCATAATCATATTACCATAAGATATCACACCCCTTGACGTTGGATGGGAGGGAGGCAGGGTCGGGATGGTTTTTGTAAAGTTTTTCTGAGAGTAACGTCTCGGTTATCTTAATGTTTTGATATATACGTTACTTGGAGAACTTGCTTATTACTGCCTGATCTATACGCTCTGTAAACTCCTAAATTTTGAGGACCTGTTACAGTCGGTTTGATGTGAATAACGAAAAAGTTTTACACACAAAATCATATGAGAACGATTTATCTGGTATTGCTTATTGCTCAGCCGCCACTGGACAAATTTTCAAATATGTAGCAAGATTACTTTTATAACTCCACATCACAACGCGTTCCCAACATCGAAAATTGGTACAGCCGTTTCTTATACTACATATTCACAGAAACGTAAACAGGCAGGCTGATAGATCGGCTAGAAAACCGACGATTATAAGTACGTAATTGCCATAATCCCTTAATTTCTGTAGTCCAGTTCACTCATATTTAATCAAAAACGTAATCCGTTTATAAGTGATATGAGTTTTCCAAACACCTGAGTATGTTAAACGTTTACAATAGATGCTGTTAAATTACACAAAAAAAACGTGCACATTTGGGACGTTCTTGCAGTTATACAAAATCTTTTGTGGTCTTAATCACAAATAGCTGCATCTCTCACTGACCAAGCACGTTTTCAAAAACTTGAACTTTCTAGCATCCATAAACTAGCGGGCTTCAAATAAAAAAAAATTGTAAGATTGATTCAAAATTTGTTCAAAATCATCGCGACTGAATCCGGGAAATGACTAACAGACTTTGATAATGAAGATAATTTTGCACCCCTCAGAAAATCCATTACAAAATTCTGTAATTGACCTGAGGTACTGAAGACAATGTCATTGTGGAATCACTTCCTGTGTAAGTTGTGCAGAAAGTCACACACAGCCCTTAACACCCGCTATCGGCAAGATAGTTGAGCAGAATAGCCATTGACTCAGGATGCGGGACAACTTAATCCGTAGGCTACATAATCTACCATTGTTCGGACTACCATTGCGAGTGTTTGGCACGTGACACAGCACGGGTGGGCGTGGTATTGTCTTTACAGCGCGTACTTTTCAGCTCCGGAAATAAGAGTTAAGAGGGTTAGGATGCTTATGATAAGAAAGGTAGGAGCACGTAGTTAACAAAGAAGACGTTGGATGGTTTATTTAACAAGTACTACGAATATAAGGATGTAAAGATATTCAGAAAGCTCAATGGCGTCAAGAAGGTTGACTCTGGGATTAATGTTAATCCCACTTGCATTATTTTTTATGTTTCATTCCCAATCCTATAAATATTTAATAAAATAAATATGTAAAAAGGAACGTATTCCGTTTGGATTTCATGTGCCAAAAAGTGCAAATCCTTCCCATGAACTCCTCCCTCTACAGACTGCTGAAAACCGTATAAAAATCCGTTTGGTAGTTTTGGAGAGTTTATCGCGTTCGAGCAGACGTCATGGAGAATTTTTTCCGCTTTAACTTGCAGAGGGCGCGGGCGGGGATAAAATATTTCATATTTTATATCATTTTGAGTCTTAAGGGCAAATGTGCGTGGAAATTGATGTGTCAAATATGCTTAATATGCCGGTGCCGTTGCCGGGGCTAGATTCGTATAAATAACCTAACGTATAAAAATTTAATCTACCCTCCCCCACCACCGAAAAACCCAGCTCCCAATTTCTACAGATTTGTTTCAGGTGCCTCTGAAACATCAAAAAACGAGGTTTCATCGATTTTTCTTTTTCCGTTTTTGGACTGTAGCTCCGCTGCCACCGAGCCGATTTTCAAAAACTACAAAGTTTTTTGTCCTTGGCCCAGTAGTAACCTTGTAAGAAGATTTCATCAAAATCCGAGCTATCATTAGTGAATTGGCCGATCGACAGGCACACCGACAGAAATGAGTGACATGGAGACGGTTTTCACGTGTTTAAAATTGAGGGCTGGTGTTAAAGGGGTTCGATGAGGGTATATCTCAATTTTTGGCGTTAGAATTTGTATTAGATTTTATACCCGGTAACTAAACGCGCCTATTGGACATATTTCACACTTAATAGATTTTTCTGTACAATGTCCTTAAAATGATAGGAGTATTATCAACACACGCGTCGTAGGAGCATATATATACCGTTGGATATACCTGGTTCATGGTCTGACCGATTAGTGGATGGCATTGCGGCTGGCGAGGTTAGTCATAGCATCGTTTATAAATAGATTGTACTATCAGTAGGCCAGGAAAGAAGTTTTCAGGTTGCAAGGTTATCAAATGGGCGGGGATTATGTTCATTACTAACTTTTTTTTAGAAGTGCTAACATGCCTAATATAATCCATTATGAACTGATGTCAGCGTTGTGTGGGGAGAGCAGAATCAACATACTTGACGCCTTTTTCTAAATGTGCATGCTTCCTCAAAAATATTGCAGTTGGTCGCTCACCTTGTATGCACAGGGTGGCCCGAAAAAAGTGTGCAATATTCTACCAGCGGTTTCTCGAGCTTAAAATAGGAAGAAAAGTTTATATAAACATAGGTCGACAAACGTCCCCTAAGGGCGCTACAGTCTTTTAAAGGGGCTCCCGTGAAGATGGTTTTTCCTTAATATTTCCGAAACGTGTTGAGATAAAGACATAAAATTTGGTATTCTAGCCTAGTTTTTTATGCTGGATTTAAAAATATTAACAATTTTAGACAGTTTTGTTTGGAAGCGTATGTGATAGCCCCAAAATTTTTGTGTGATTCTATTTTTGAAATTCAATTTTAGAATTTGAAAATTTAGGGTTTTCTACATAAAAAAGTACTCTTATTGAATATCGATAAATTATGCCATTTTTTAATAAAATCAAACTAAAAAATTGTCACATGATAGGAAATGTACTGCGAATTTAAATGAATTGTTGAATAATTAGCCATGGCAACGAAAAAACTAATTTAATAATTGGTAAATATTACATAAATACATATTTCTATTGCAACATAGCTAATATTTAGGCAAAAACAAAAGAAATAAATTTTTTCTACGAAAGAAATTGAAATTTGTTTAGAAAAGAAGACATACAGTTGGATATACTTAAAACTAGCTTTACAATAATTGTTCAAATAAATTCCCATTTTGTTGGATACCGAGTCTCGCTCGACGAACTAATGATTGCGTAGCCCGAAAAGTGGAAAACCTTTTCCTTCTTATTTCATTTGCAGCCTGATGGATTCTTTGAAGTAAATCTTCTTGAGTACTTACTTCAGTTGAGTAAACTAGGTCTTTTAATGACCCCCCAAAAATAGAAATCCAATGGATTCAGGTCAGGTGAACGTGGGGGCCACGCTATAGGACCTCCTCGGCCTAACCACCTGTCTGGAAAATTGACATTCAACCAATTTAGAACATTGCATCCAAAATGTGCAGGGGCGCCATCATGTTGAAAAAATATATTTTCTTGAAACTGCTGGCGCACATCCAATGGTATTATATTAATGAGTTCGTTCTGAAGAAAGTTCAGATACATCTCTGAATTAAGACGATTAGAAAGTACAATAGGCTCAATTACTCGATCCCCAATTGCTCCTGCCCATAAAATCAATGAAAATATATGTTGGAAATTTGTACGGCAAACAACTTTTGGATTTTCATCTGACCAGTGATGCATGTTATGGAAATTAAAAGCACCATCCCTAGTAAATATTGACTCATCCGACCATAATATTCTAGGAATAGTGTTTTCATTTGCTAATATCCACTAGCAAAACTCGATTCGTGGTAAAAAATCTGCCTCCGTTACATGCTGCACCCGTTTAAAATGTTAAGGATGTAATCCTTGCATTCTTGTCATTCTTCCTATCTAAAATTATTATTTTTAGGATAACTATGAAATAGGTATTCATAAATTTTTCTTACTATTGATCGAGGTATATCCATAATTTCTGAAACATTTCGTATGCTTATTTGCGGATTATTTTCAAACATATTTAAAGCAATATCCATACGATGATTTCCCAGTGGCCTTCCTGAGCCCTCCATGCGCTGAAAACTTCCATGGTTTGA